GCTTTATGTCAACCTAGCAGAACCATAGCTGAAAATTTGATATTTTGAAAATTATAAATATATCATAATTTTTAACTATTTTATTACTAGCTCATAACTATAATCACGAATTTTTCACCCATCATTTCAAGGAAAAAAACGACGATTTGTCTATCTCGATCTCAACCTAGCAGAACCAAAACTCAAATAACATGTTTTTTGAAATTCTGTTGTATCTTCGATAAGTTTCTAATTTATTACTAATTTATTACCTCATTCGCAAATTTCTAACACTTCATTCAGCTGGAAAAACCAACGGCTCTGCTAGCTTGCTGTCAACCTAGCAGAGCCATAGCTAAACAATTATTATTTTGAAAACTTCAAATATACCATAATTTATTACTATTTTATTACTAATTTATTACTATAATCACGAATTGTTTACTCATCATTTCAAGCAAAAAAACGACGATTTGTCTATCTCAAACTCAACCTAGCAAAACCAAAACTCAAATTACATGTTTTTTGAAATTCTGTTGTATCATCGATAAGTTACTAATTTATTACTGATTTATTACCACATTCGCAAAATTCTAACACTTTATTCAATAGGCAAAATCAGCGGCTAAAAATTCATCATTTTGAAAACTTCTGATATACCATAGTTTCTTACCATTTTATTACTAACTTATAAATTTACTATAATCACGAATTTTTTACTAATCATTTCAAGGGGAAATACGCCGATTTGTCTATCTTGATATCAACCTGACAGAACCAAAACTCAAATCACATGTTTTTTGAAACTGTTGAATCATCAATAAGTTACTAATTCATTAATTTTTATTCATTTATTGTCACATTCGCGAATTTCTAACAATTCATACAATAGGCAAAATCGACGGTTCTGCTAACTTTATATATCAACTCTAACAGAACCATAGCTAAAAAATTTCTATTTCGAAAACTTCAAATACACCAAAATTTATAACTATTCTATTACTAATTTACGACCGAAATCACGAATTTTTTACTCATTATTTCAAGGAAAAAACGCCTATTTGTGTATCTTGATCTCAACCTAGCAGAACCGAAATTCAAATCACAATCATGTTTTTTGAAATTCTATTGAATTATCAATAAGTTACTAATTTATTACTAATTTATTACCACATTCGCAAAATTCCAACAATTCATTCAACAGGCAAAATCGGGCAAAATCGACGGTTCTGCTAGCTCAATGTCAACCTAGCAGAACCATAGCTAAGAATTTACTATTTCGGAAACTTAGTAATAAATTAGTAACATATCGATGATACAACAGAATTAAAAAAAAAAGTGATTTGAGTTTTGGTTCTGCTAGGTTGAGATCGAGATAGACAAATCGTCGTTTTTTTCCTTGAAATGATGGGTGAAAAATTCGTGATTATAGTTATAAGTAAGTAATAAAATAGTTATAAATTATGGTATATTTAAAATTTTCCAAATATTACATTTTCAGCTATGGTTCTGCTAGGTTGACATAAAGCTAGCAGAGCCGTTGGTTTTTTTTGTTTAATGAAGAGTAATAAATTTGCGAATATGATAATAAATTAGTACTAAATTAGTAACAAATTATAGTACTATTGCAAATCCGAAATATTGAAGTGGTTCTGCTAAGTTTATTGGGGTAAAATTTCAGAAAAAAATGTTACAGAGGTTTTCGTAATTATTTCACCCACTCTATATGCTCCCAAAATTTGACCACCTATTTTAGAATCACCTTGTATATCCACACATATTCGAAATTATACAAGTTAGCTTAACTCAATTGAATATTCTGATTGGTTTAAAATTATACGAAAAAAATAATCGATAAAACAGGCTTCAACATTCAGGGCTATCCGGCAAATTTTTGGGGTTTTTGACTTTGACATTGACCCTCACGTTTTAGTAACGCCAACTGGTGAGACTGAAAATGTTAGCTCTGATTACAGGAGAGCTTTTTTATCCAGGTAAACTTGACATTTCAATGAGCATTTTGTGCCTGAAAATGAAACGAACAAAATTGCCTACGAAAAAATTACGTAGGAGTCCATAGGACGAATCATTATTTCTTTAGTTTTTTTTAAATTTTTATGAAATTTTTACTACCACTACGTTCAGAAGCCCTCATTCAAGATAATCTTCACAACTGTGCTCTTTTTGTGGTCATATAAAGGAGTACCTCCATAATCTCTGCCTACTTAACAACAGATGTGTTTTTCCTATAAGTTCATGAACATTTGAAAGAATCACATCCACAACATCTGGAAATTCCAATTTATTTTTATGCTGGGTATTTATGGTTTGTCATTTCCAAATATCTCATATTTCTGAGGACATTCTTCAAGAAGGTTTTTTTTCCTGGAAATAAATACATATTTATTTAGTTAACCATTCTTAACCAACCCAAGAGTATAGTTCATGCGCACTTCATATACCGTTACTATTCAAGTTGCTTACTAAACAGACAATTATTTACTTGACAGGATTCTAAAAGGGATAGAAATGAAAAATTAAGTTGCAAATAAATATATTCTTTACTCTAGTATTTTCGAAATCGGGTTATTGCAGTGTTTCGATGGCTTTTAATTTAAGATCATTATTTTTTTTTTACAAAATTGTTTCCTGACCAACTCTTTCATATATTATTATCCTCAAAGTGAAATAAATTATGGGAATGGGCCCTTCGCATCATTCTCAAGTGGCTAGGCTACGCATAGATTATGCATTCAGTAAGCCATTAACGTCAATAACGTCTAGGACTAACATAAACAGACCTCGCCTCAAGTATTGACAAGAACAGCAAATGAAGGAAACAGTTTCTTTATATCTTTATCGAATTTCAGAGGTCTTTTTCTCATGAAATCATTATATCAATTTATAATCATGTTACATCAAAACTTATAACTGCCAGCATTGATACTTGAAATATAGACTCTGTATATTTAAATCAAGGATATTTATCAATGTTGTTGAAAATATATATCACCCTATACTTATTTCTGACAGTTTTTGATAATATGTTATAATTATTAATTACCAGCTAATACTACTACCCCTTCAAATTAGACAGATGTGAGGGTTTGACTAATGCATATATAGCCTTTATCTAAGTTTGAAATACGAATTTGATTTCCCAAACCTCTCGGAAGTTATTGTTAGAAAATTGATATTTATTTTCCCCTTTCATTGAGGTATATCTGGATTCAGTTTCCGGTAATAATATTATAGAAAAGAATCACTGTTTAAGGATGTACAATCACAATGATGATGAACAATTTTGGATAACCGTCTATGTCACTTGATATTTCCTTCCAAAATTAGATGACCTATATCTTCTTTCCTGTAGGCCCTCTGTATGGAAATATAGGCCCCTAAGGGGCCCCGCTGGAAATCGGTTTTTTAAGCTCATTTTTTCAGGTTTTATCTAAATTATCCACGTTTTCCTGGCCACCTTGTATATCATGATCTATAAATATATCAGAGTATCAGATGATATGTTTTGTGAGGACTTGCTGATTTATCTTTAGTTCTCTTCACATGTTCTTATCTATTATGCCATTTCAACACATAATCTGTTCACTCCAAATACCTAACCCAACTCGAAAACTACCTGCTAAGTGGTGAAGGTCTGTATTTGGTATGATTTAATGGTCACAACTAATCCATGAAAGAGGGTATTTTACATGGACACATTGTTCGATTACCTTTACAGTTATTCCTTAAACTGTGACTTTTACACAGACTATAATAATTACAACAAATATTGAATACCAGTTGTTTTATTACCAAAGTTCGAGATTTGATTTTGAGGATTTTCACATTTGTTTACCAATAGCCTTTGGCAGTTTGTCATATACAGACTGTTCCGTCTAAACCACATATAAGACCTATTTGGAGTTTTAAAAATGAAATGGCACTAGTCTCAAAATTTGTGTACAGAAGATATGGATTGGGTCCTGTTTTTGTATATTTGTATTACGGACCGTAGTTATGGACACAAGAAGTGGGAAGTTGAATGAGATTCTTTGAACGCATCTGAGTGAAAAAAAAATTGTTGAACTCTTAACATAAGATAAATATATGTTATTTCTATGAACATGTCAGACATAACAATAAATAAATTGGTGATAAAAATCGGGTACTGACAGTACACATACATAAATTTCACAAAATTGGGAGAATGAGTTGCAAATTTCCACCTGTAAAAATACTGGGAATGCATTAACTCTATTCAAATTCCCATCAAACAACACACTCTCACAAAAATAAAATGTAAAAAAAAATTCACCAATGGATAGTCTTGAATAATATAACATATAATATATAATAAAATAAATAATTAACAAATAGCATATTCTATGCTAAGAAAACACACAAGTTCCATACCACTTGGGTCATCTGGTCATCTCACTTATTGTACTGTTCATCATATCTTTGTAATTCACTATGAAAGTCATCTTTTTCTTCTTTTCTCTAAGACTTGGCTTGAAGCATATTTTTAAGTATTTTTTTAAAATTTTTATTTAGACTAAAAACTGGAATTCATTGTATTTTATATGTAAAATTGAAAAAACACTAGCTGTTATGTGAACAAACTATTGGTACACACACAAATTGAAAAAATGTATTGTTTACCATCATGGAAATGTAAAATGAACTGTTTTTAACTTGGTAATATATACATTTTCATCTCATTCATTCTATTTTCAATTATTTTATGCCAAACTGACAGATTTTGATCAGCTATTCATGGTTACATCATTGAAAACATGAATGCTGCCAGACCAATCAGAATTGAAACACAGCTAATGTTTTTGTGATAAGCCCATGTTGTCTCTGGCTAAAAATATAAAAACAATGCACATATTCATGATCATAATAACTTCGATTATGCTGACAAAATAACCAAAAATAATACTCTGAAATTATTACTGAATGTCCCGAGGAAAAACCGCAAAGTGAAAAATATGTAATATAATAATAATAATAATAATAATAATAATATCGTCTTTATTATTTTCTTCCTCTTCAACGGTACAGTCATTAGAATAAAAATAATATATATATATAACATATTTAACTTCGGAAGAAAATTGAAGGCGGAGTTCAATTTCAATAGTGACGAATCACCATTGAGATATATATAAATATAATATAAAGTGAAAAATATTCTGTTTCAAACTACATAGAAATTATATGGAAATAAATGTACATATGGGGGTTTGAAACCATGAAGAACAATATTATGGAGTTGGTTTTTATACAAAAAAATTACTAATATGATTTCATGAAAAATCGTTCCCTTCTTATTTCCATTAGAAGGCACGACTGATTGCTGTGATATATTGGGGGACGTTTGAAGTGAGACACGCTGTATAAGATATGATGTATTGAATTTGATCTCTTACAAGGTGAAGATGATACGAAATCCCTACACAACATGGAGCCATTGTTATAATGAATTATGCTTGAGATGTTTTAAGCGGGTATACATTATTATCATATCATGGCCTACTGCTGTTATATCGAAAGCCACAGGAACAAATAATGAAATTGTTATTCTATAAGATATAATGTATTGAATTTGCTCTCCTACAAGGTGGAAATAATATTAAATCCCTATGTACATCATAGAGTCATTGTTATAATGAAATACGCTAGACATTTTTTAAAGCGGGTATACATTATTTAAATATCATGACATCTCAAAGTTCCTACAGGTACAGGGTCTTCGCATATTTTATATACAAACTATTGAAAATCATAAAAAATCATTTCCATAGAAATGCAGTACCAAGTTCCTGCCAGCATTCATAACCTTCTCCCTGTTGGTAGCAAACGGTTCATCATTATTTTTCCTATTTCCATCTTGACGTGCTTTATCGATCAAATCCACAACTACTGGTACAGAGTCTGGAAGTATGTTTTTAAATGATTGAATCATTATTGCTAAGATGAGTCCGAATTTGCTGTACCGCTTCCACTCTTGTTGAAACTCGTCGTAAGAATATACCTGTTCTGGGTCCAAATTGTATTTCCTTAAAGACTCTGAGAGGCTTTGATGGTAGACTCTGAGGTAATGGTCCAAATCGTCTAAGTTTTCTCCAGATACACCGTCGTAGATACAAAATGAAATGTCAAAAACTACTGTTCCAACTCTGGAAAACTGAAAATCGATGATTCGAATGTCTTCTATGTCATCGGATTCCTGAAAGCATTATTGATAATTATTGGTTGAATAACTGATTACCTGTAAGCATAGATTTCACTCAAGTGTTCTTCATCAGTTCTTTTATTGAGTGAAATATATACTTGAATGTTGTCTTTAGATAATCATATAATACAAATTGATGACCAAAATTAATCCATACCTACATTCAAAATTTCCCACAACTTTACATAATTCTCGAATTTTCTCTCATGAAACTCATCGTTAAGATAATTAATTGACATATTTCAAAATATTGTGTAGATGAATATATCTCTCCTACTCCTTCAGTTTTTTTGCTTTGCTGAATGAAGCAATTTCTCATTGTTGCTATGACACCTTTTTCCACTTTTCTATAAATATTCAGTCAAGGAGTGATGATTGAAAGGAAAGAAAATTTACTTAACCCATAACCTTAGTAGTACTTTCTGCTCAAATTATGAATTTTCACAATGTTTACATTTTACAATTCAACTAATTCACATAATGGGCTTGTATCACAAAAAAAAAATTTCATAATTCGATAGAACTCACCCAAACTAGCTCACTATCGCAAACCGTTTCTTGCTGTGAGCTCCCTACGTTTTATAAAAAATTATTGAAATCCCCGATTTTTCGGACCTCTGAAAACGAGGCGATGATGTGACGTCAAAACCCTAATACTGAAACAAGACTATTCCAGACAGAAATGAATGATACACAGTTGAAAGAATTGATTTATCAGTTGCCTCAGTCTCCGTCGGGCTTTTGGTATTTTCTTTCAACTATGGCGAGATGAGGTTTTTACGTCATGAGAGGGTCCGTTTTCAGAAGGTACTATTATTTATGTCCGAAAATAAAACATTCCAGTTAATATTTCGATCGAATTATGTCGTAAATCATTATTTATGTATAAAAGGATCATTATAAACATGGTTTGAGTTGAAAGGTCTACTGAGGTGTACACGCCTATTGTGTTCGATCCTGTTTTTTGTACGTCTTCTCAATTATTTATGAGAAACAACCTCACCATAGATGTTAGTCAAATTCCTTTGCAGAATCAATGTTACCTAATGATGAATTGTTGTAGGTCCCTGAGGATGGAAATATAATATTCCGAAAGGTTGGACAAACTAGTACTCTTTTCACTTTGCTGCATTCCCCAATAAACCTAGTTTTACCTCTGACCAGTCAGCAACGACTACCCTCTCACATATATATCTATCTACAGATGAATGCTTGACACACTACGCATACTTACTTCATGATATTTGAACATCAGATTGTTGCTCCAAGCGTCTCCATGCGTGACTACTTGATTTTTTCCGTTATATCTCGAAGTTTCCTGGAGAATATGCGATCCTTTTTCTGCGTATACCCTAAACTTATCGATGATTTCTTTCTCTGTCATTTCGTCAAAGGTGGACAAAACAGTTTGACAGCCATAGTCGATAATCCGCTTGAAGAACTGTAGCTCTCCAAACGCCTTGTAATTATCCACCAGGGAACCGCAAATTTTCCTAAAGTTTTCCGGATCCAACACTCGATAAGCCATGGAAATGGCGTGGAACTGCCCGTAGGTCCTCAGGATATACTCTAAGTGACGTCTTCTGAAGTAGGTGGATTTGTCATGATTGCGAAAACCTTGGTATTCCATATTTTCGAAAGATATTTTCTCGCTACCCTTTTTCTCATTCGCTGCATAAACTTTCGGGATGCACAGAAACTTTTTGGCGTTCGGGAAATTATCTTGGAACCTCCTCAATTCCGGCCATATGTGTTCGTAAAACCAAAGTTCGGTGTGGAAAAGGTTATTCACAAATGTGAGTGACGTTTCGGTTCCACTGGCCAAGGCTTGTTTCACAGCTAAGTGAAACACTTCATTAGTTTTCCTGTTGGTTAAGGAAACGAACAAAAATTCTGACAGGAACCCTTCTCCTTTTGTGTTTTTGTTGTGCGTTTCCACTTGAAAATCGTCGAGATTTCCACCAACAGACTTTTCCAAAAAATCACGGATATCAGCTGGTATATAGCTGTTCATCTTTTCTTTGTTGTAAAAACTATCACTATACTGACGAAATTTGGTGAATATAATAAATATATTGTCTTTTGTATAGGCGGCATTTAAACAATGGTGGATTACAATTGATAAGATTATGAATACTGATATTTTTTAGTTATAGAATATTATAGAAATATCATAACTATGTTACTAATTAGCATTTCAAAAACGGCAGCAGATTCGTTCCTGAAACGTCAAACATAAGTGGAATTCTGGGTTTTTCCAATACACCTATATTCTTCTCCTGAAAAATATCGGATCCCTGTTTTGATGTCTTGTGAAATGGCGACATGTTTATTTTGTTTTGTGTTCGCTTTCTCACAACTACAATCGGGTCGCGAAATTAAAAATATAAGGGCTTACTTTTGTTGATGGAAAACGTCTTCAAAATATTGGAAATATCAAATAACCTCACTATGACGTTACAAAATGAAATGAAATATTATGTTATATGTGGGAGTTAATTTAATAATGCACATACACATGGGGATCCAATAACTCGGTAGATTTCAATGCAAACAAAACACCATGCCTTTTCTCTGGAAAAGCCGATTTCACTGTTCCCTACATAAGCTTGTCAGGAGTAACCATACCTTTGAAGACATTGATTTCGATGATTGATATTATTATCAGCAATAACCTTTCTTGGAAAAATCACGTGAGATCAATTGCTAAAAGTGCATTCCAAAAACTTGGTTTTCTGTTTCGGGCAAGGAGCAATTTCACTTCCAGCTGCTTATGATCTATAAGGCACAGATCCGACCTGTCCTAGAATACCCAAACATACCCTGAAACTGTTGGATTCTGTCAAAAGAGGGCAATTCGTCTCGTGGGCGATGCCTCGCTCACAAACTCACTCACTTCTCTGGAACACCGTAGAAAAGTTGGCAATCTGGCTCTATTTTATAGATATCTTCATGGTCGGTGCTCTTCTGAAATATCAACAATTGTTCCCCCCTTGGCAGTCTCCGCGAGATTAACCCGTCGAGTTGAGGCTTCGCACCCCTTCGTGGTTACTTTGGAGACCTGCAGAACATTCATTTCCAAAGACTCGTTCATCCAACGAACAGCGAGGCTCTGGAACACATTGCCAAGGGAGGTGTTCCCCGAGGCATATATCCTCCAGAAATTTAAAAAGAACACCAATTCCTACCTTTTTTCCCTCGTGGGGACCATTAACTCTGATCTTGATGAGCATGGAACTTCCAAAAAAATCATTCGTATCAGTGATATGGGAATTATATCTCTCACAAACAGGTTATTTGACTTCACTGGAATAAACTCAGAAAAGGAAAAGAAAAATAGTGTTGAACTGGCTCAAAATGCCTCTACCTATCCTCCCTAAGGTATGCACGATGTTTACACGAACATAGGAATTTCCTGAAATGCGCTCCAAGAGATCAAAAATAGTTATTTTTGTATCTAGTGCGCAAAATTCTACTTTTGGTGAGTTGCAAACTTTTTTTCTACAAACGTCAAAAAGTATAGTTCTGATGTAACAATATGCTTAGCTTGATATAAAAAATGGTGTAAAAGGCCTCTCCCTATCTTTCCTAGTTGCGCACGATGTTCCACGAAGATTATATAGGAATTTCCATTCGTGTGCCCCAGGGGATGAAAAAAATTATTGCTAAACAATCAAAAATAAATGTTTTCTTGGATGTTTGCTTGATTGAGGACCATGAAGTTGAATTATAAAAATCTCATTTAGTTTACATACAATGCGCGAAGTATGTACGCGCATCGTTTTACTTCGCGCACTGCTTCGCACATGGTGTCGTGGTAACGTAGGAGATTGAAAAAAAGTGTCACTTCGCAATTTGTTATCAATGCGCGAACCTTGTCATTTTCAGACATTAGTAAAAAAAGGTTCATTCAGGACAAGTTAGGTTGAAAGTACTTTCCTTTTTCAGGCAGAAGAAATATTTTCCTTCCTCATATTACCTTATAACCAGTAGGGGTGGGGGATAGTGATTTTTGATGATCCATTATCGATAATCACATTGTATCGATATTATCGGTTTATCGATATTATCAAAATTATTGATATTGTCAATATTTTTTATTTTTTTGCATTAAGTAGGTAGTACCTGTCTACCTGAAAAGGATCATTGGGTGTGGTATGGGTGGAAAGCCAAGGAATGTTTACACTGACGAAATAAATATATGACGCCTAATCCAAAAATGACGGTAATATTTTAATATACGAAAAATAAACGAAATTTTATAATGTAAACATCTTCCCATGATGGAAACTTCATCCTTTACGCCACGTCGTAAAGTCATGATATAGAGCAAGTTTAATATTGCTTCCAATATCGACCAATGAAAGCGAAGATCAACGCTCCCCTATGACTTCCAATGTTGTCTTCATAGTTAGAATGGATTATGGGAGTGGGCGATTAAAATTAACAATCAACGGATATTTCGAAAATTATCGAAAATCATCGAAAATTTATCAAAAATGTCATCATAACAAATCATATGTCCATAGATAGTCACAATCAAATATTATAAAACTGTCGTTATACATTATTTCAAAGTTATTCTGTAAAGGTTACCGAGATTATACACAACCGACAACGCCGCTGCAAAACAGGCTCGTTTCGTGCTGTCGGCGAGTTCGGCGTTGTTTGGTTATGTTTATGTCTTTGAGGAAGTTTATTGTTTTCGTTGTTTTTGAGTGAATTTTCTAATTTTTTTTGTGAGAAGTTGATAGACAGAGACTAATAATGGTGTTACACTGCTGGATTTGCGAAAAAACAAAGTCTTCATACCCAAATCTAACCTTCCATTCGTAGGTACTATTTGTTTACATGTTTGAATTATAGTTTCATAGGCGTAACACTTGATATTTTCATCAAATAGAGAATGCGAAGTCTCAATGTATTCCTTCATATATGTATATATCAATTTTTTTACGTACATAATTTATCTGAGAACATTCCTTTTCAATTCTTTTCTGTTAAGAGGAAGTTGTACTATGATATAAAGCAATAATGCAAGGGTTTCGTAGTCCCTAACTTTTCACGGTCATTTTCAATTTTGAGTGGATGAAAAAAATTGTACATATTCATGAAGATCTCATAAATGTTCCTGTCGTCTTACTTTTTCGAAATTTGATTCGGTTCTTGAGAAAAAAATTTGAAAATCATCAAAAAACACGTTATTTTGCATTTTTTTTTTAGAAAAAACTGAATCAAATTTCGAAAAAGTGAGACGACAGGAACATAGATCAGATCTTAACAAACATGTACTGATTTTTTCATTCACTCAAAATGAAAAATGAACATAAAAAGTTAGGGACTACGAAACCCTTGCATGGCAACAATTTATGTCCAGAGAGTGGCGCTGCTCTCAGAATTTATATACCTAGCTCCTATAATTCTAATTTTTTTATTTCTGTGTTATTCGCATCACATGTCATATAGAAGCAAGTAAATAATGTATTATAGTTTCAAAACTAAAAATGAAATGATAATCAGTCATATTGTCTAGTAATAATCCTTATCCTTATTATAAACTGTAAGCTATGAATGAGGATATAGTTGACAGTATTTTGCATCTACATCGTTATCAAATAGATTCCCAAACTGATCGGATTGAGTGATCATTAATTAATTAGAGAAAAAATTGTTCTTCATAGGGGTCAAAGAAGTGGTTGATGAAGAAGTGAAAATAATAGATAACATAGTGTATATAAATTTATTTTGACGTCATTACACGTGGTAGTTCTGTGTCCCAGCAATTTTGGGACACTCTTTATAGTTGGTTTGTTGGTGTACCATTTGGAAAAAGATACAGAACTTTCTATGATTCCTTATATAGTACCGAAATTCCATTATTTTAATAATCTATTTTGCGTACCAGTTCACCACACCACAGTTATATAAAATCCATTATTCAATATGTGAAAACCAGAAATCGGAAAAAACGTTTCTATTGGTAGGTAGGCATCAAAGATAGTATTTTCGTCTCGATTTTCGCCTACTCAATTTATAATTTTCCAATAGATGATCGGTTTTGTCGGAACACAAAACTGTATTTGTTATGTTCACTTGGTATAACCCATAGCGACTCGGATTGATAAACGGTCATATAGTGATTGGTATTCAGTTTTTAGTCGCTCTTTGCATTTTGGATTCCGAAATTTACTATCACGATAATTCATTTTCGCACGCCGCTGTCGTTTAAGGAAATAGCACAGTCTATCGTTACCGTTTCCCTTCCCCTCAACCCGCTTGCCTACATCTCTAAAACTTCAAAACATTAGATGCTGAAAGTATAGAGTTGCTGTGTCCTTCTTTTTTATACGTCCATGGTCACGCTAGACTTGAAGTCTGTCCTGTGACCTCTGTTATGCAATACACCCAATGCTTACAGTGGACTATTTTGATGTGGCAAACAATGAATGTTAACTAATATTTCGTGGTATTCATGTCAATGAAGGAAGGAAGATTGGACGAAAGTTTCAGTACTGGTTGATCATAAATTCATAGATAAATGTATGTTTGTGATTATTAGAAAAAATTGTCAGGATGGCTCAATATATATTCCTTTGTTTCCTTTTTGAAGATTTTAAAATTTATAATTTCTTTGATATTTTCTGTAGGGTATTGGGTATTATAGATTTTTGGCCCGTAGTGAAAAAATGAATATTGTGTAACAGATTTTTTTAAAAATTCGACTTCAATATTCGAGTTTGTTACTGATCGAGTTTCTCGTGAGTGTTGTATTGTGAATTTGTGTTGTTCTTGAAATAATCTTTTCAGGCATTGATAGGCACAGATTGATTGAATGTAATCTGTAGTGAGCTGAGAGGGGTTTTGAATGTTCGTCCCCAAGCCGGAATGCAATATTGTATTAATGATTCTGCATGTGAGGTATATAGAATGGCGTGATTTTTTTTCGATAATATGTCGCGTAATTCATAAAATTTATGCATAAGTACTCGTAGTCGTTTTGTGACATAATTGATATGTTCTGTCCATTTCAAATGCTGATCTGGGAAGACCCCGAGGTATTTTATACTACTAGATTTTTCTATGTAATGGCATGTGCAATTATCTGTACCATTACAAGAAATGACATGCAGTTTGAGTTTGTGGTCTTCTGGTTGGTCTCGAATCGTAGGAGAAAAATTATGAACTTTGTTTTTTTAACGTTTAGGGACAACCGAGGGGACAACATGTTGCTATTAATCCATGCGTGAATTTTTTGTGAATCTCTTTCTGCAGTGTTTTTTATTTCTTTCCACGTTGGTCCAGTAAGGATTATTGCAGTATCATCTGCATAACATATCACATGGCCTTGAATACCGTTGATTTTTGTAATACTATTAATGTACACCAGGAACAGTATCGGACCCAATACTGTTCCTTGTGGTACTCCTGTTTGCACTTCTTCTTCATCATAGCTTATTTTATCCCCAATCTTAACCCGTTGTATTCTTCCTTTTAGGTTTTTCTTCAATAATTATATTGCGATACCTCTAACATTTTCCATTTCATTATCGATAATTATCGATATTTCGATAAATTTGCCCACCCCTACCTATCAGTATCTTCGTCCTGTTCTAGGCCGTGGCAGGGGAGGCAGAGGCGGCGGCGACCGTGGCCGCGGTCGCGGCAGAGGCGGCGGTGGCTTCAGGGGGGACAGAGACGGAGAGGATGGGGGATTCGGAGGAGGCGGCGGCGACGGCGAGAACAAGGAGGAGGTCAAGCGGGAGATCTACGTGCCGGTGGAGCGGACCGCCGACGAGGATCTTTTCACCTCCACGATATCGTCCGGAATCAATTTCATCAAGTTGGATGACATTGAGGTTAATGTAAGTATCTCCAGGAACAATTATTATAGAATTGTTTTTTGAATTGACTCGGCCGTTACTTGATGGAAATTCGTGGCAAATGTGAAAACTTCACTAACGATAAGATTTCCACACAATTCTCAGACACACATGTTTCGCTAACACAGTAGCTTCTCAGGTGATATACTGGTACGATGAACTAAACTGACAGGTCGTACATTTAATCAGCGCATTCATGACCTTACCCAAGACTGCACCAAAGACATTATCAATTTTAATAAACTGATGACTGCCCAATAGGTAATTTGTTTATAGTGCGAGTTATGGTATAAGAAATATATACCCCCATCTATAAGTCAATGATAATGAAGAATGAATGTTAGGTAATATACACTGTGTCCATAAAGTCACCCCCCCCCCCCCTGGTTAACTATTGAACGGATGGGATTTTTTTTTTCAATTTTTTTTTGCTTCAATGGTAGTTTCAGTGCTATATATTTTTCCAAAAAAAAAATATGTATCCTTCAAAATGGCGCCTGGGCGCCATTTTGGAAGATTTTTTTAAATGGAGTGGGGGGGTCGAAAGATACCTCGATTGAAAGGTCTTTCGATTCTCTATACAACCTCAGAATCTCAGACAAAAATATTCATACAAAACAAAATGGCGGATGATAACGTTTGAAATCTCACACCAGAATTCTTTCGACTGGATGGCTATTAAAGTGCTCGCATGTGATCTTCAAATCTTTATTGGCGTATAGATGAGTTCTCTATCTATGAAGATATCAATAGAAAGCCATTTTGAAGAGAATAACATGGTAGTCACGTGGAATAAACATTGTTCTTTATTTTGAATAAATATTTCTAAAATTTTGCAGAATTTGGAAAGACAATCGAGCAAAGGTATAATTGACTACCATGTTATTCTCTTCAAAATGGCTTCCTATTGATATCTTCCTGGATAGAGAACTCTTCTATACGCCAATAAAGATTTGAAGATCACATGCGAGCACTTCAATAAGCCATCTAGTCGAAAGAATTCTGGTGTGAGATTTCAAACGTTATCATCCGCCATTTTGTTTTGGATGAATATTTTCGTCTGAGATTCTGAGGTTGTATAGAGAATCGAAAGACCTTTCAATCGAGGTATCTTTCGACCCCCCACTCCATTTAAAAAAATCTTCCAAAATGGCGCCCAGGCGCCATTTTGGAGGATACATATTTTTTTTTTTGGAACAATATATAGCACAGAAACTACCATTGAGGCAAAAAAAAATTGAAAAAAAAAATCCCATCCGTTCAATAGTTAACCAGGGGGGGGGGGTGACATTATGGACACAGTGTATATATATTTATTCATTGTATATAGGTTGCCTAGCTAAATCAAGTACCGATGATGTTATATAATACATTTATTTACATAAAAGTCGAGTATCAGCCGTCAGAATACCCTGAGAAAGTTGAAAAATGAAGGTTGCTTACCTTTCCCAATGTGCAGCTATGGGGTTGCCAGGTATAAACAGGTAAGATAGGGTAATTTATATACCCTCATGAGTTATTTAATCGAAATTTGGCTCAATTGAAAGCTTATTTTATTCACAATCCTACTGCATTAGGTTGCCTTATCAACAATATTGTTAGTTTAATAGTTCAATTCCGATGGTTAAACTCGCAAACAGATTTCAATAATAGTTATTTAACCAACTAGTGTATTAATGAGGACGATTAATGATCGAGATATTTTAACGTGCGAGCGAAGCGAGTGCGTTAATGCTCGAGATCATTAATCGCCTTTTAATATACAAGTTGGTTACAAAATTTTTCCGTCGACTATGTTTCTCATTTCTCCTGCAATGAAGAAAACTTGGTTCGCGAATTCATCATCCATCCGGAAACTGCTAAGAATCACTCAGTAGCCTTGTTACTGACATTAGTGTCATTTGACATTTGTCGAAATGATCAACATAGGAAATAAATTCCTTTTGTTAGAAAACAGGGATTACAATCGTGTCAGAGACTTGGAAAGGCGAACCCGTTAACGGAAAATCGTCGATGAAATCCATATTTTCGATTTAATGGCAGATTCCGCTAGTTATAGCATAAACAATGAATGCACGCGGTGTATGTTTGGTTGCCTATAAAACAATCGTGCATTAATAGACAAATCGTCCATTAATAGGGGTCATTAATGAACGATTTCATATACATTAAACTCAGTCGTTAATACGAGGTCGACGGAAATGATTTTTATTGATGCAGAAGTAATACAATCTCATAGAAGGCTTAACCTCCAATGTTGTGCTATATCTTTTCATAACATCTTGACGTGCTCTGTGGGCCCTTCTCAAGTGGATACAATGTTTTGATTATACATTCCATAATGTCTGGCCTATGATAACATAAACACATTAAGCAATATGATGCTACACCAGGGAATGCCGAGCACAGCCCTTGGATGTTATATTCTCTATCTTATCTATTGAATATTTTTTCACTGAATTTTCAACCTATTTAACACTATTGTTGAAAATGTTGAATTTTCTGCCCGAGCGTTAAGTGAGACAGAGAGGCGTTGCGGGCAAATTTCATTTGACAGACAAAGTTGCCCCGAGGCAGGAATATCATGACGAAAATGTTGTACTGATGATTTAGAACAATAAACACGTTCAAAGCTCTTCACTTTATTTGGTAAAGTTATAATGATGATCTATACATTTTTTAGAGCGAATAATCGACAATAACTCCGCTACTCATTTGTTATCTCGCAAACCATACTTTACAGAATTGTATACATAGTGATTCACAATATTTAACAGAATATCAACAGAAAACACAATTTTTTTAGGATCATGATGAGAGTAAATGAACGTGTGTTCAATAGATGTAATTCAATGTTTGTCGTGGCATATAGCCAGAAAAGTTGTTGTTTTCTGTTGAATAAACCAAAAAAATTAATATTTTCATGCAAGGAAAATGCGAATTCTCAATGTATTTCTTTATATACAGGGTGTTCCTTGACATGCTAATATTCAAGGGGGATATTTTTCAACTCAATTCAAGAAAAAAACTTCCCACTAACGTATGTCCTAAAAGTCTTAACTTTTTAGATATAGGGTGATGAAGTTTTGAGAAAAATCAGTGTTCTGATAATAACTGGGATAATATTGTACATATCTTCTATGCATCAAGGTGCATTTTTTGTTGTATATAAAATTTTCCTTCTCCCTACCAGTGGTGCCGTTAGAGGGATATGATTGATTATATTATACTTGAAAAAACGGAAAAACGAGATCAAACTTTTGATGTAAATGCTAAGCTTGAGTACTCCATTCAGGACATACATCACTGGATAACCACAGTATGTAACATTTTGCCATCAGGAGAAGCTATACATGGTGGACAAAAAAAATCATGTTCATGTTCAACTTTGATACCATGTATCTCAAAAGTTAGGACTTTTACGACATACGTTCATAGTAAGTAAGTAAGTAAGTAATTTATTCCATTCAGATATATAACGATACATAGTCGACGAATAGTAAAAATATGCAAATAACAAAAAAATAATAATAAATAAATAAATCAAAATTGGTATTTCTGTAGGAGAACAGATTAGGTTGTGGCTACCTAAGCAAGCTTGTACTGTAGCCAGCAGCCAAACTAGTAATCCTAATCCTCTATTAGCATATAATTTCGATAACTATAAGGTATTATTTAAATATATATAATAATAAATAGGTAGAGTTTATAGAGTGAAAGAGACAGTACAAGAGGAAGAGAGAAGGGAGACAAAGAGAGGATAAGAGAAACAACGTTTGCTTGTGAGAGCAATGAGAGTAAATATTTTTCATCTGATGCCAAGTAATAACAATTCAAGCATTTCAAATTTGTTATTAACGAATTTTTTCAATTCAATTTTGAATTTGACTAAATTTTTCATATTTTTCAACGAAACGGGCAGAGCATTGTAAAGTTTTGGTCCGATATATGTGATGAATTTTTGGTTATGCGTGAGTCTGCAACGTGGGACATTTATGGTTTGATTTTCACAAATACGAGTGTTATATGCATGCTGAACAATTGTCGTTTGCGAGCTAGCAGTCCATAATAAACATTGGAAAGTATAGAGTTTCCTCACACCGAATAACCCAGTCTCTTCGTATAGCGTTTGAGTACAATACCTCCGATCTTTTTTCATCATGATTCTTATCAATGAGTTTTGGACCCTTTCTAAATTATATAGAGAAGACTTGAAAGTACCCCCCCACACTATTATGCAGTAACGTATTATGGACTCGGCCAAGGCATCATACACAGTCAATATCATTTTCTTATTGAGTACGTTTCTAAGATGGTAGAACTTATAGATTATTTTACGAAGCCTATTTGCGTTGTACTCAATATGTTCGTTCCAACGAAGACATTGATCCAATATCACTCCTAAGTACCTGATTTTGTCAGTTTTATTTATAGAAGAGCAGTTGCAATTATTAACGTTCGTACAAGATGATTTATGTATTTGTATTCTATTTTTATTTGGTTGGTCCCTATGAGTTGAGGAAAATGCAATAAATTTTGTTTTATTCACATTGACGCTCAGTAAGTTATCACTCAGCCAGTTGAAAATCATTTTGACACCTGTTTCAGTCTGTATATAAACCTCTTCCCACGTTTTCCCAGAAAAAGTAATGGCTGTATCATCAGCAAATGACGTTATTCTGCCATTGAAGTCAGGTATCTTAAATATATTATTAATGTATATCAGGAATAGAATCGGTCCCAGTACAGTTCCTTGAGGTACGCCTCTGGTTATTGGTAGTGGGTTACTAAGTGAGTTATTTACTTTAACTGTTTGCAATCTATTTGTCAAATAATCCTCAAAAATATCCCTTGCAATACCCCTTATCCCTGTGTCAGACAAACGCTGGAGTAGTATTTTGTGATCAACGGTATCAAATGCCTTAGCCAAGTCCAGGAACACAGTTATACATTTCTCATTATTTTGGAAGCACTCATTTATT